AATAAATCGACACGCTTCAAGAGTGAGTATTACATCCATTGTTTACTTAAGTTATGAGGAAGAAAACGAGACCATAAACACTTTTTCTGCTATTGTAAAGCACGCTATTGTAAAGAAATGAAATGAAAATATTGGCTTGTTTTCAGTTGGCAGTATGTCATGTATTGCTAATATTTTTTTGCTCTAGCTACTGACTTTCGAATACAATAGTTTTCTACTGTATATCGATACAATAGTTGAATGAAGATTAATTGATTTAGAGATCTTATGGGGCTCATGTAGCATCACTATGTGTCAACTTGACTTCGGTCAACTGATAATTCAATTGGTAGATAGCCATATTACTACCTATTTTCTGTACGAGTTTCATCAATTACAAGTTTTTTTCTATCGACTACTTTAACAAAACTGCTAGGGTTATTGTCATTTCTTTACTTATTTTCTATATGAGCTCCGTCAGCTATAAGCCCTTTTCTGTCAACTTCTAACTCAGGTTATCGATGGTCGTGTTTATTCATCTACCTATTTTTTGGATAAGATTCGTCAGCTATTAGAGTTACTTTATCGGCTGTTAACTCAGGACATTGACGGTCGTGTTCATCCACCTACCTTTTTTCTGGACGCGCTTCGTCAGCTGTAAGCCTTTTTATGTCGATTGTTAACTTAGATCGTCAATGGTCATGTTCATCTACCTAATATTTTTTGTTTTCTTACGTTTTTACAACTGGGCAGTAGGCTTAGATCCTAAGCCTAGATCCTAATAACTAACGTTAGAATCTACCTACCTACGGTTATACTGTTTTGATTTGAATGTATGCAAAAGAACCTTCGGTCGTGTAGATATTTGTTATTTAAGCGTATACATAAATTAAAATAAAACGCGAAAAGTTCTGCAATTTATCACAATTCCTCTTATAAGTTTAAATCACAAATTGTCAAAGGTTTCCATATACAAATTTGTTTGTAATAATATCTGGTATCATAATTTTAAGTAGAATGCTCTTAAAACTTTTTTCGTTTCCTTTCCAACGACATGAGTAACCATTTTATTATTCTGAACTATCGATCCTTTGCAATGTTGTTTGCTCAATGCATTTCGAACAGCCATTAATGTCCAAATACTGCGTATGGGAAAGCAAACAAACTGACAAAGATATATGAGAGGATCTCCCATCCACAGATACATA